ATTTTCTGCGCACTTTGGGATGTATTTCGCCACTTTCCAGCACTGGTCAATCAACAAGCTTTCATACCCTAATTCTAGACATATTCTATAACCAACCTGTATAAAAATGTCTAGAATTAGTGGATGAAAGGTCGTTGATTGACCAACGCTGGAAAGTGGCGAAATACATCCCCAAAGTGTGCAGAAAATCTTGCGCCGTAAATTGCATTTTATTTACATTACGGGATCTGTAGTGTTATGGTCAAAGACTAAAATATATATAGGATCTCCCATGATTTTTAGTTGGATATGATTTTTATCCAACGAGTTGTGTGTTTTTTTATCCCCGAGCCTTGGCAAGGGGATAAAAACACACAACAAGTTGGATAAAAGTCATATCCAACTACAAATCATAGGAGATTCTTTTTATCCCATGTTTAATACTTCACAACCAATGTTTTACACTGTTGTATATATAGGACTCCACTTTATTTTACTTCATCACGCTAACGCTAAAACCATTGTGACGTCACAACTGCACTTAACTGTGGAATATGAAAAAATTATCCAATGAGTCATATCCACGGGATAAAGGGGTAAACATGGGATAAAAAACAATAACGCTACAGTTCAGAGTTCTGCATGCAGCTACCAAGGACGTATTTACGTCCCTGAAACTACAAATCAGCTGCCGATTATATCGTGTTGGTAAATTTTTCACACCAATAAACAAATTCAATCCTGTTAAACTTCACAAATTATATTTGATAGTCAAATACACTCATTACAGTGTTGATTGGGGTTTGGGAGAAATAACAGAGGAAATTCTAGCAAATGTCAAATTCAAATCGAAAAATATACCGTTGACCTATTTCTGTAAAAGCAGCATATTACCTGGATCCAGACATCATTGACTATTATTCCAACAACTTTGGGAAGCTTTTTAAAGTACTTTTTTTCTTTATTTCAGTTTTCACATAATGTTTTGAAACACTTTGACGCGGTTGGGTTGCTGGGACGACACAAGTTTACTCGGGTCTTTTTAAAAGTGTAGTAGAGTTCCGAATGAATCTTAATTTTCAGAGAAGAAACGAATTAAAATCCGGAAAATTCTTCCCCAATTTGACAACGGCGTTCTTTCATGTAATGAAACAGTAAGATCGCATATAGCTTTCTAGGCGAGGTCAATATTAGTTCTTCTTCCAAGAAATCAAAGGAATTTATAACAATTTATTTATCAATTATTTACAATTTATATTACATCGTGATGACTTCAACTTTTCGATCTATCGTCAACTTGCCTAATATATGTAGCAATATACCTTTATCACCTGTATATGGAATTTATGTCTCCCAGTTGGTTCAATATGCAAGAGCATGCTCTACGTATGAACAATTTCTAAATGAGACAAGCTAGCTATTGACAAACAAATTGATGGAACAGGATATCAACAGTCTCTTGTGAATTCAACATTTCGCAAGTTCTACGTATGGTCGATACGCAAATACAATCTATTATAAGTCGAATGCTGACTGACGTTTTTCATACTAATTTTTTTCCGTTTGCCTGATCATGACAAGGAGCACCGACACGGTGGGTGTGACAGGTCAACAGGGGATGCTTACTCCTCCATCCCACCTCTGATGCTTTTGGAGGTCCGTGTTTTGTCTGCTCCCGATTTGTATTTTTCCAGGCGCGGATCCAGGATGTTTTCGGGGGGGGGGGGGGGCAAGTCAAAGTTCTTGACAAGCGGAAAAAACAAAAACGAAAACGAAAAAAACCCCTAAAATTCCCTTCCCAAACGTATGAAGTACATGCGCAACGTAGTTTGAACTTTATTGTCTTTTTCCCTGGAGTTGAAGAGTTCTGATACTAAAAGGAACTGTGTGCTACATTATCTCTATATATGCTGTTGTACACTTCTTTTCAAACAGGTCACGTTTAGATGAACAAAACATCTATAATATATGTTTAGTAATTTTTGTATATTTTTCTTTGAATTATACAAGAATTTTCATCAACTGAAATCTTTTCAAAACCCCTGGTAATGCATGATGATTTTTTTTGTCTACGAACATCTGATGGCACTATAATCCTAAATTAAGAATATCTTGAAAAATTATCAGTAGGTAAGGTACGTTGCGTATCTCCTTAGGCCTAAACTCAGAAAATTTCTTGACAAGCAAAAAAAAATAAATAAATAAAAATAAAATAAAATCCATTTCCAGAACGTGAAATAACTTATTTCGTGGTAGTGATGATGTGGTCCACGTTTTCTAGGGGTGGTGGTGGGTGGTTCCAAAGTCATTTTTTATTTTTTTACTTGCTTCAGTATATACTTTTAATAACTCTGCAAATTCCGCCCCCCCCCCCCTTCTAGATCCGCGCATGCATTTCATACTACATGTATATGTTTTATATATAGTGACAATGCTATAAATGTAAAACGATTATGTATTAAAAAATTAATGAGAGCACTTGTATTTAGCTGGTCAGGCATAATCAATCAAGATACAAATTTATCACAAACAAAGATGATAATTACCAGTACCCAGATAAAGGGTTTGAAGTTAGAAGTGACTCTCGAGCTACCAAAAGTGGAAAATATAAAAATTTGGTCTTATTTTCCTTTTGAGTCTTCAAGTAATTCTGTCATACTGATTTTGTATCTTGCTTAGCAAGTCCATTTCACCAAAATGGACTTTGTGATTTTATATCTTGTCAAGAAGTTTTCTATTCAACAATATAGCGTGCATGTCTATCAATAACCTTTAATAAACATTTTAAAAAATGGTAAGTTATTATATTTTAATTTTAAGACTATAACATTAATATATATATATATATATATATATATATATATATATATATATATATATATATATATATATATATATATATATTTAAAACATTGCTGTGACGTCATGCCTTTGTTCTTGCAGTCTAAAATTTACCTGTAGTCGTCCGATAATAATGATTAGCAGTCCAATAATATATTATCGGACGGCAGTGATAACAAAATCGGACAGTAGTTAAAAAACAACAACAAGAGTGAAATCAAGGTTTAATTTGTCCAGAAACCAAAAAAAAGTTAGGGAGAAAAAGTTCAGGGTAAGCGAACGCGAGGAAATTAAGTTGTTAAAAATAGCAAATCCAAGAAGAAACTGGAGTCTTAAACTTCCACAAAAGTAACACTTTCCATTCATTTTTTTTTTTTTTGCAAAGCGTTTTCGATACATCACTGGGAATAAGCCAATTTAAATCCATTTCTGATAAAGAACCAGTCTGCGAATCTCTTCATTTAACGAGGTTTGTTCGCCAATGACCATGATGACCGCACTTTTTAAACCCAAGATTTTCATTATATCATCCAATCAAAATTTAGATAAAAATCCGCATTATTACTTTAAATGCATTTCGAAGATATCATCCAACACTGTATCTGTATCAATGTCAAACGCACTTAATAAAAAAAAAATATTCCGAATCATAAAAAAAATCCCTCATCACTTGACCACTGTCCATAGTTCCTGCTAAGCCAAACGACTGCCATTGAATGAATGAAACAAAAGAGTTCACTCACTGATTTTACTGTCTTAAAAAAAAACTTTCTCTTTTCTTTTGTCTACTTATTAGATGGTTTCAGGTAGAAAACTATTGATGCCTGAACTCCTATTGTGTAATTATCGGACTCCCCCAGGTAACTTTTGGACATTTAAATAGCAATGTTTTAAGTAAGATATATGCCGAATACAATTCTATATGTAAAATTATCAGACTGTTTTCGGCCCTAACGGGCCTCAAACAGTCTGATAATTTTACATATAGAACAGTATTCGGCATATATCCATTACTTATATATATATATATATATATATATATATATATATATATATATATATATATATATATATATATATATATATATATATAACCTCTCAGTGATCTTGAATTGTTTCAGATTTAAGATAATAAAGAGATACAAGAGGCCCAAGGGCCTTGAATTGCTCTTCTGATAAACTGTACAACCCATCACTTCTATTTGAAGCCTCTAAGTATCCTGTATATTTATATAAACCCTTGAAATTCCAAAGGTAGGTCATCATGACCTACATTTTAGATGAAACACTCTTAAGAACCCAAGATGATTCTAAGCCAATTAGCACCTGAGAGTTGGTCATGGTGACCTACTTATCACTTGTCATTCTCTGAGGACCCAGATGCATCATTCAAGTTTGATGATTCTAAGCCAATTAAAACCTAAGATATTTTTAAAATTATAACCATAAAATTTCAAAAGTACGACACAGTGACCTACTTTTCAGTCGACTAACTCTGCGGACCCATGATGGATCAACTGACAAAGTTTGATGATTCTAAGCCAATTAGTACCTGAAATATTTAATTAAAGCCATAAATTTTCAAAAGTAGGTCATGGTGACCTACTTTTCAGCCGACCTACTCTGAAGACCCAAGATGCATCAACTGACAAAGTTTGATGATTCTTAGCCAATTAGTACACGAAACATTTAATTATAGTCATATAAATTGAAAAGTATGTCACGGTGACTTACTTTTCAGTCGACCTACTGCGAGGACCCAAGATACATCAACTGACAAATTTTGATGATGCTAAGCCAAATAGTAGCCGAAAATATTAAATACAGCCATAAAATTTCAAAAGTAGGTCAGGGTGACCTACTTTTCAGTTGTCATACTCTAAGGACCTAAGATGCATCAACTGACAAAGTTTGGTGATTCTAAGCCAATCAGTTCCTGAAATATTTAATTAAAACCATAAATTTTCAAAAGTATGTCATGGTGACCTTTTTTCAGTTGACTTACTCTGTTACACAAATTATATTGTCCCAATTGAAATAATTACTTGTGTAACTAGAGTTAAAAACTTATCCCTCCAAATTCAGGGAGAAACCGAGTTAGAAAGAAGAAGAGGGTATTGTTTCAAGACAAATCTATAAAGATTTTTACACCTTCAATCAAAAGAAAAAAAAAACAAGAGAAGGATAAATTACATTTATTCAAATACATACATATTCATGGTTTCTTGTTCATCAAAAATCAGTCAATTTTTGTTCATGAATCTACAATTCTCCAGCATTTAGGGCATCTTGGTAAGTTTTACCTCTGCCCTGACTCTGATCCACAAGTTTAATCATATCATCTATTCTAAGAATTGTGATTGCAGCCTCTGTGGCAAACTTAAGGGACTTGATTTTGGACATTGCTGGTTCTAATACCCCGGCCTTCTTGTTGTCTCTCACTGTGCCTTGATACAGGTCCAATCCAACCCTATGTAAAGCATACAATAAAGAAGATTAGAATAAATATCATGTACTGTTGATCATAAAATTTCTTAACACCCTATTTTCGCATGAAAGTTATTTGCAATTACTAAAGGGGAAAATTTTTTTCTGAATTTTGGTTACTACTTTACCTAACCCCTTTTAAATAAATTTTCATGAGCAAATGATCTTGCCCATCTTCCTATGAAGAATGGCAGACAGAAAAAGGCAACACTATATGCCCAGGCCATTTCAATGCAGGGATAAAAAGCTATACTTTTTATCAATAAAACCTTACCATCTGAGGTCCCGGTGTTCCTGTTTGGTCTGGGACATGTTATGGTAGGCCCTTAACTTGGCGACTAAGTCAGTGGAGTCTTGAGCTGCATTAATACCTAGTTGTTTAGGGATTACTAACAAAGATCGTGCAAACTCTGCTATGGCTAGCTGTTCCCTAGAACCCTGTGCAGGAAAAACATTTTTCAGATGATATTTTCATGCAAGTCTAATTTGGAAACTAAATGCTGGATAAATTCATTTTTATTTAATTATTTTCGAAACATTCTTGGTTTAGACAGAGCTGCCAACATGAGAAAATTAAAATTCGTAATGAGGGGTCCAGAGATCGCCAAGGCTGGCCGTTGGCGATTTTTCTCCCATTCTGTTTACATTAAAATGATTTTAAATCACACATTAGCATAAAAACAGGCAAAAACAATACAGGCAAGCGCTGTAAGGACTATAACTCTTTATTATGATGGTTGAAATCTACGGAAATGCTGATATTTCCACTTTATGATGGAGAAAAACAAAATTTGGAAGAATAAATGGAGAAATTGTAATTAGAGGCTCAAATCGTAAGCCTTACGCCAAAATTTTAAGAGTTGGCAGCTCTGTTACATACAATTTTGGCTTAATTTCTAATCAATCATAAAAATAACACATGAAAATGATGCCCAAGCTAACTTACCAATGATGTAGCAAAATTTTCTAGATATATAGACAATGCTGCTTCCACTGCCCCACCCCCTGGGACAACAGATTTAGACTCCAGGACTCGTTTAACAACACATAAAGCATCATGAACAGAGCGCTCCATCTCATCACACATGAAGTCATTAGCTCCTCTCAATATGATAGATGCTGCAGTCCTAGCCTTAGGACTGAAAAGAAATTCTCATCATGCTTAATTCAACAATATCTAAGCGAGAGTACAATGTAAAGAATTTTTTTTTTTTTAAATCAGAAGTTTTCAGAACATACCCCTTTACGAGAAGAAGTTCATCATCACAAATACGTTCTTGCACAACTTCTGCTGCATTTCCCAACATGGAGGCATCAAAAGATTCCTCTCCCTCCAAGTTAGCCAAGGTCATCACAAACTGACCTGTCAAAAAATATATTCAAAACTGGAGAAATTTTTTCACAAGATTTACTGGTACGTTTACCTTGCTTTGGCAAAACTTTGAGTGGAATTCCGTCAAAAAAAATTAGAACCATTATTTACTTATGGTACATACTACAGGAAGGGAAAAATGAGTGCAAATGTGTACTTCTATGATTTAAATATATCAACCAGGAGCTTCAAATGCATCATCCTTTTAAACTCCTAATTTCTATTCATGTATTTGGACTCCTAATACCTGTATCTATTCTTGTATAAATGTAAAATTCCAGAGCCTCTCTCTAAATTTCCTACCATCCAAAACTAAAACTAAATTGAATTGACCATACACTAATCCTTTCAAAGCTTAAATATTTTATTTTTGGTCTCATCCAGTGAAAATGGAAAAAGAGACTCCTAAACTACCCCATGCTCTGTTCACAATTATTTCTTTATTATCTTATGAAAGAAGTAAGATCTTTTTTTAATCCCTGTATAACATCATAACTAGACATGTGACCCACCTCCAGTAGCTTTGGCAATCCTTTTGAGATCTGCTTTTTTACATCGCCTGACAGCCATTGCTCCTGCTTCAACAAAATACTTTAAACACAAGTCATCAATTCCTCCAGTGGTCAGAATAACATTGGCTCCAGCTGCCAAAATCTTTTGTATTCTTTCCTTAGTGATATCATACTCCCTAAAAATAAATAACAGATGTCAAGGAAATCTTATTGTTGATTACATATTAAACCAAAAAAAAAGTCCTAAAATTAATATTGGAGATTTTATTTTTTATAATAAATTTTCTGTACACCACTCACCTTTGTCGCACTCCATCTAACTGATCTGGATTTTCTATCAGGACTTGAACACCCATCTTCATTTTTGCCTTTTGTAAACTGAAGTCTAAGCAGGCTATTTTGGCTCCAACTACTTTCTTTACCATTGCTGAAAGTAAAAATAAATATCTTTGAAAATTAACCATTTGTTCAGAGTTCATTTGATAAACTTGAAATCCATGAAAAATTTTAAATAATCCAAATACAAATGTATTACTGAATGTGTTATGCAATACATGTACAACAAAATCAACAGTGGACATCAGATAACAAGAGGCCCAAGGGCCTTAACGGTCACCTGAGTATGATACAGTAATTTAAAGGATGCATAGAGTATAAAATGAACTGAAAGGTGAAGCTTTTTGCCCAAAAGCAAGAAAATAGGGTGATCATGATTAACAAAATAATTGGTCTTAATATTCATTAACGGTTCATAAATTAGGTTCTGATCTGTTCCCAATTTATCACTATCACCATACAGTATATTAACAAATTATCAATGCTTCTGTACTATTTTAATCCCTTGTTGAAATATCTTACATTGGCCTCTCTTGGACTTTGATGAACATTTAATAAGACAACTTATTTTTGTCTCATTTTTATTTATCTACTACTTACAAGTCTATCTGATCATTAAAACAATGAAAGTACTTTTTGTATTATAAAATAAAAGTTTTTGCATAGTTTTCTTATTCTATTTACCTTTCCAGTACATTATTTACAGTGATAAATTATCAAAAGTAAATGGCAAAGGGGAATAACTCCTCTCAGTAGAATACAAACTAATGGAGCCCTGGCCAGGAACAGAACACTTGACCAAATGGTCCAGATGTTCAAAAATCTGGTAAAAATTCCCTTCCTTATAAAAACTTTTACTCTATTTGCCTCAGATATGCCCAGGTGCGGAGAAGATTTTTTAAGAAATAATGCATTTTTACTACAGATTCACTATATTATCAAAAGAGTCCCCCCCCCCCCCCCCCCCCCCGAAACACCAGAGCTTCTGACCCTGGGACCCTAAGTTTGCTCATTATAACTAATCACTTTGTTTATCTGCTTAACACTATGCGGGTATGTTAAGGCTACACCCAGAGATATTCTACTTGCCTTTACAATATGACGTCATAGTAAGCTGTATGACATGAACTTTAGAAATAATGATTTCTTAATATCTATATTTAAAGTTTAATTTCAGATCCAAGAAATGAATGGAATCATTCAAAATATAATATAAACTAAATCTTGTCGTTTTTGGGTGATACAAATATCTAAGTATTTAGCATAGGGGTTAAATACCAAACCCATGACGTCATAACTATTGATCAAATATTTGCCGAGTGAAATTAAACGTGACGAGAATTCGTGTAAACAAATATATAAAATGGGAGTTTTAGAGCATATACCGTGAATGTTATGTGTGATACATAAGGAATTAAAGATTAAGAATCAGGTACGCTGATATATTCTTATCATGTTTTCTTATAATAAACACAGACAGTGCTTTGAAATCACGATCAGCCTTTCCTCTGTCGTTCTATAACAACAGAGATGCAAAAGTTCAACACTACGCCGCATACTTTGAAACATAATTTTTGTTTGTTTCGAAAGCTTGTATTCTATAGTATTTGGAAATGCTGCTAGAATCATGTTTAACATGAATTGATAACAATTCCTTGATCGTATTTATAAAATGTAAAAAATATGGTAAGGTTTCATGCGAAACTTTGGAATATATTTTTCTGTGTCGGGAGAGTAGGATTCTAGCAGCACTTTTCATGATCCAGTAATGTTTTTACATAATTATTTTCACTAAAAGAAAAGAATTATCTCCGGGGTAGTGTTGAACTTTTTACTTTTTCTTCAAGGTAGTTTTTCTATTTATAGACGTCATGTGATGACGTCGTAGTGGAGTGCTTCTTTTAGCCTAAGACTCAATGACGTCTATACAATGGATAATTATAGTAAATGTTTTATCACTGGCTTTTCCAATTTATCAATGTTACATTTTACGAAAAAAGTCCAAATTCGCTGAAATATGATCTGGGTACTGCCTTAACATACCTGCGTAAGGAGCAGACAGGATTATTTAATAGAATTAATGCCTTTTCACTATATTATCAAGAGCCCCACCCTCACACTAGCACATCTGACCCAGGGGTCATGAAATTCACTACTCTGGAAGAAGCACTCTTGCTCATCATAACTATACACTTGGCTTCTTTGCTTTTTTAACCAGAAGTAGAAAAGAATATTTTCAAAGCAATTTTGCTTTTTCACTTTATTATCAATAGAAGCCCCCCCCCCCCCCCCCCTCTCACCAGAACCCTTAAACCTGGGGTCATAAAATTCACAATTTTGGAAGAGGCATCCTTGCGTATCATAACAATGTACTTAGTCTGTTTAAACAATACCCAGGGGCAGAGAAGAAGAATTTCAAAGAAATAATTCACCTTCACTATAGGATCTATATAGCCCCGCCCTAGCACCAGAACTCCTGTCCCCGGGGCCATGAATTTCACAATTTTGGAAGAGGCATCCTTGCTTATCATAACAATGTACTTAGTTTGTTTAAATAATACCCAAGTGCAGAGAAAAAGATTTTTAAAGAATTAAAACATTTTCACTTTATAATCAATAGAGCCCTGCCCTAACACCAGAACCCTTGCCCCTGGGGCCATGAAATTCACAATTTTGGAAGAGGCACTCTTGCTCATCATAACTATGTACTTAGTTAGTTTATTTAATACCCAGGAGCAGAGGAGAAGATTTTCAATGAATTAATGCATTTTCACTATATAATCAATAGAGCCCCACCCTAACACCAGAACCCTTGCCCCTGGGGCCATGAAATTCACAATTTTGAAAGAGGCACTCTTGCTCATCATAACTAAATGTACATGTACTTAGTTACTGAATTTAATACCCAGGAGCAGAGAAGAAGATTTTCAAAGAATTAATGCATTTTCACTATATAATCAATAGAGCCCCGCGGTAACACCAGAACCCCTGACCCAGGGGCCATGAAATTCACAATTTTGGAAGAGGCACTCTTGCTCATGCTAACTTTGTACTTAGTTACTGTATTTAATACCCAGGAGCAGAGGAGAAGATTTTCAATGAATTAATGCATTTTCACTATATAATCAATAGAGCCCCGCCGTAACACCAGAATTCCTGCCCCTGGGGCCATGAATTTCACAATTTTGGAAGACGCACTCTTACTCATCATAACTATATACTTAGTTAGTTTATTTAATACCCAGGAGCAGAGAAGAAAATTTTCAAAGAACTAATGCATTTTCACTATATAATCAATAGAGCCCCGCCCTAACACCAGAATTCCTGCCCTTGGGGCCATGAATTTCACATTTTTGGAAGAGGCACTCTTACTCATCATAACTATATACTTAGTTAGTTTATTTAATACCCAGGAGCAGAGAAGAAGATTTTCAAAGAAATAATGCACTTTCACTATATGATCTATATAGCCCTGCCCTAGCACCAGAACCCCTGACCCTGGGGCCATGAATTTAACAATTTTGGTAGAGGACTCAATGCTTATTACAATGATGCCAACAGTTTGACTGCTTGATGTCCAGGAGTAAAGAAGAAGATTTTTAAAGATTGCATTAATTTTGGTGGTTTTAGCCCCACCCCTCAAGCCCCAGGGGGGCACTGACCATGAAATTCACAATTTTTGTTCCTCTTCACCCATAGATGCTATATGCCAAATTTGTTTGAAATTGGTTGAGAGGTTTCAGAGAAGAAGCTAAAAATGTTCAAATGTTAACGCACATCGCACGATGCACACCGACGGACAAAAACGGATAGCAATAGGTCACCTGAGTGACTCAGGTGACCTAATAAAAAATAACAGACATGTCTATCAGATATTAAAAAATAACAATCATGTCTATCAACACATTCATGACCTTACCTTGAGAAGCCACTGTGCAGTTGAGAGCATACCCTTGAACCATTATGCTCTCTTTAGAACTCTTTCCATGAGCCTTTAGAACATTGACAGCTTTGATTGGATATTTATAACCCCCTTTACCATCTGGAGTTTTGATTGCATTGGCTGCATCCACAACCATATTAGAAAAGAATTCAGATTCACTGGATGAAGCTAAGGAAAATTTCCATCAACAAGATTTAAAACAGTTCATGGATTACTTGTTTTTAAAAAGCAAAGAAATCTTATGCACAATGTCTGTATGTAAGAAAGGATACGCTCCTATAATTTTACTGGACATGCTGGTTTTGGCCGCATTAATGATGCAATCTCTTCCTAATTCTTCAACATTAATGGTCATGTGTTCCTGGATGTATTTACAAGCTTCTCTGAAAAAAAATTGTAGGAAATACAATTTTTGTGTGAACTTTGGTGACTCAAACTTTGACATCTTTTATACTGTGGATAAGTCACAGTGAATTGTAAGTTCCAACCACTTTTTCTTTTTGTATATTAATCTTAATATCTCAAATCCTCATATATCTCAAAGTTTATTTCAGTCCTACTAAGTTAAAGATAATGAGATTTGACTATCTTTGCGATGCGAAGCCCCACTTATTTTTTAATCTTAGAGCTTTTTTAAAGCAATATGAGCTGCATTTTTGAGAATTTTATTTTGCTGTTAAAATGTGTTATTATGATAAATTTGTAAGGGATTTAAACCTTTTTGATCAATTAGACAGAAATAAAGTATCAAATTGTTTCAGAATCAATGATTCTGTACAATCAAATATATAGTATTATATAAGAAATCAATATATTGTACAGGACGACAATAATGTAATTTTGCTTCAATCAAAGCTTATAATTACTTCTTCCGCCGCAAATATGAACGACAGAATTTTAAAAACTTTCTTTTTTTCTGTCATTGAAATAGTTTAAAATTACAATTTTGCAACAAAAATTCCTGACAGCAAAGTTGCAGCTCATATTGCTTTAAAATAGTAAATACACACTGATCTGTTTTATTTTGGATTCTAGGGCATGTATTGTATCAAGGAAAATTCACAGCTCTTGAAAATAGATAACAAGTGCCCTGACACATATTCCTGAAAATTTCTTTTTCCCATGCGTATAACTGTCACAAGCAAAAAGCTGGTGCAGCAAATAAATGGGAAAAAAGGTACAAAATTCATTATCCTGCTCTGGACATTTACACCAACTGTTGGGATCCCTTGATGTTGCTCACAAACAATGAAATGATAAAAGCACTCCGTAGAATTTACCAGACTTTTCCTATGCCAACATATTCTCTGTAATTGACCCCAATTGATGCAGGGTCCTTTTCCCTCTCAATTAGGAATTTTAATTTGAATAACTGGCAAAATTAGAAAATAATGAATACTAATTTGTTTCACTGTAAAACAAAGACATATTGTAGACATATCCTCCATATCTATAATATAAACCATTATTATCTTAAAATACAAGACATTTGTTAAAATGCAGCGAAAAATTTATTCTGCTTCTTTATATTTAGAAATACATGTATTTAGTTTAGTTTAAGAGAAGTGATTTCCAATAGGGAAGGGTTTTTTTAAAATCAGATCTGAATGCAATGAATATAAGCTCCATGTGAAATATATATTACATCACTGAGAGTTCTATGTGACATTAACATACACATATCACTGCCTTATTACTTTAAGTCCAACTTATCAATGAATTTGTACTGATTACAAAGAACATTAAACTATTACATCATTTTGAAAATTATTTGAAATGTTTGTTCTGTTACATTTAGGTCTTTTACGACATGTATCAGTGAAAAATTCACAGCACTTGCTAACAGATAACAAGTGCCCTGGCACATATTCCTGACTATTTCTTTTTCCCATGCGTATAACTGTCAACAACATAATGCTGGTGCAGCAAATAAATGGGAACACACTTTCATATAGTTCATTAATTTATTAATTTAAGTGAACTGACATCAATGTACCGAGATGAATACCTGAGAGTATTCACACGAGTTTTCTGGCATGACCAATTCCTTATCAAATTTCTGTTAATATTCTCTTTCCCATGCTTAAAACTGTTACATCTAATACTCAGAGCAAATGAACGGGAGATGAATTTAAAATGCCAAAGGAATCATCTACTAAACTGTATATACCCGCCTAAAAGTCCATTTTTGGGGAGTTAAATTGGTCCAAAACTTTATGTCAGACTTATGGACAAGTCATAAAAAAGATTGAAAAAAGATAAGAAAAAGTTTAAATATTCGCATCATTTTTAAAAATATTACTTGAAACACAGGTTAACACAATAGAGCATTAATTTGAAATTGTCAACTGATTCTAGCAAAAAAGTTTAACTGACTTATAAGTGGGTCAATGGCAAATCTTTCCAAAATAACCTCAAAAAATGCAACTGACTTACAGGCAGAACGACTTATAGGCAAGTATATATGGTACCTAATTCTGTGTCATCTCTAAAAACATTTTGACAATATATGCACTGTAGTTGTGAGAAACAAAATGAAATGAATCTCAAACATTTTCTATGTTTTTCCTACACTCTGGATTCTATCTAATCCAGCCAATTTTCATGTTTCCAGTGTGGACAAATTATACTGTACCAGATTAAATACTTCACTAAACAATACATATTTCTCCTTCTATGTATATATATATGTTTTTTTTTGGATTTAAGGGAAATAGGTTGTGAGGAAGTCACTCTACAAAAACTTCTCTGGGACAAAAGGGAGAATCCGTTTATTGTGTACCAGGGCTCCTTACTTGCATGCCAGTCTGTATCCACTGATGATAGAGGTGGGGTGGATCCTACATTTCACTAATTCATCAGCATTCTTTAACAGTTCAGCAGCAATGATCACCTAAAAGAGTGTAATAGAAGTTTAAAGTTACAACATGGTGCCTCACATGTAGAAAAAAACATTTAGACAAAGACGTACTAAAAAACTTGTGTTCTACAACAATCAATGATGTGTGCAACTTATATCTATTGAATATTCATTATGTTATTTCCAGTAATTCTACAGCTCAGCTTCCAACTCTAATCAAATTATAAATCGAAAGACAATCATGCCATTTCCAAAAACAGGACTTTTATATTGTTTGAAATATATTGGGCACTATTAAAGAAGTAGAGAAGATAGAGCCACAGGAAATAAACATGATAAAGTGATCTTACAACAGAGGTGGTACCATAGATGGAGTCACAGGAAATAAACATGATAAAGTGATCTTACAACAGAGGTGGTACCATAGATGGAGCCACAGGAAATAAACATGATAAAGTGATCTTACAACAGAGGTGGTACCATAGATGGAGCCACAGGAAATAAACATGATAAAGTGATCTTACAACAGAGGTGGTACCATAGATAGGGCCACAGGAAATAATCAAGATAAAGTGATCTTACAACAGAGGTGGTACCATCTCCCACTTCTTGATCCTGAAGATCAGCCAGTTCGACCAGGACTTTAGCTGCTGGATGTTCCACTTCTAACAGCTTCAGAATTGTTGCTCCATCATTAGTTATGGTGACATCCTAAAAATATTATGAAATGACATAATAAACTCTATATCTTGAGAGTGAATTTTGTTATTAATTTATTCTTAAATATTATGTACCCTCCTGCGACCTCATGCATTTCCATAAATCTCTTATATCTTAACTGAAAACTGAATAAACTTACTCCAATATCATCAACCAACATCTTATCCAGACCAACTGGGCCAAGACTGCTCTTGACTATATTTGCAATGGAACTTGCAGCAAGAACTGAAATAAAATAATTACTGTCATTTATATAAATTTTATGAGAACATTTCTCATTCACACATAAATGATAAAAACATATTTACTTTATGGAACACTTGATGAGCATAATCATAATATGCTGAAGAATACAGCATGATGACCTTTTAGGATGATATCTGACCCCCCCCCCCCCTTTTATGATACGAAATGGTGTCAATATTCATTCATTTTTAATAATGGACTCATAAATTACTGTTCTTTGCCATCAAATATCTTCTATATTTCAAAGAACTAAGAATCGTTTTATATTCAGACAATTTTGTCCACTTTGATTCCTACTAGTTCATACATGTTAAGGAATATTCTGGAGGTAGCCATGCCCATGTGCTTCCCATGTGAACGACACAAACAATAACAAACTACTGTATCGTGAAAATTTAGCATATTCTAACCATCATAAAGATTTTAAGCCAAAATAATGAGATCACAAAATGTATATATCAAACCATTCTGGGTCCTAACGGATTGTCCTGTTGTTCTGTCGCCTCCAACAGTCAGTGTCGGTGCTGTGTCCGCCATGTTGCTTAATTTGAAGAACCTCTATGTCGCTCCTAGACTATTTCGACCCCCTAGGATCTTGGAACTTCAATCGAGAAAGAACTAACAAACAAACAAACAAACAAACAAAAACACAACAAAAAATAAATTATCAAAACAGCACCAGAATTCAGTAGTATCCACCGAGCAACGTCTTACCATAAGAACTTTTAGTACAGCATTAAAACTAGAAATATGTCCATAGGACATGAATGCCCCGCCGAGCCTAGGGTATATTAGTAATGCAACATGAAAAATTGTATTAGTGTATGAAATTTGATGAGAATATCTTGAATGGTTTCTTTAAAATTGAAATAAGTGCATAAGCTTACAAAAATATAAGCTTAAATGATTTCTTTAAAGCTTAGCAAAATGCAAATTTAAGAAAAGTGAGGTCAAAGTCACAGGAAAGTTCAAGGTCAAACATTTTTGATGCAGTTGAATACGTATCAGCATATTAAGTTTGATAAAAATATTTTGAATGGTTTATTTAAAACAGTGGTAAAGATAAACTAAAAGTAAATGAAGTTAAGGTCAAAGGAAAGGTCAAGGTCAAAAAATGGTGATGCAGTTGAAAAGCTTACATCAGTATGTTACTATGTATTAACATATGAAGTTTGATAAAAATATTATGAATGATTTCTTTAAAACTTAATTAAACACAAATTGAGAAAAGTAAGGTCAGGGTGAAATGAAAGGTCAAGGTCAAAAATGTTGATGCAGTTGAATAGCTTACATCAGTATGTTTCAGCATATGAAGTTTGACACTAATTAAAGAAAAGTGAGGTCAAGGTCAAAAGAAAGGTCAAAGTCAAAAAATGTTGATGTAGTTAAATAGCTCTCATCAGTATGTATCAGCAAATGAAGTTTGATAACACTATCCTGAATGGTTTCTTTAAACCTGAGCTAAACAATAATTTAAGAAAAGCGAGGTCAAATGTCAAAGGAAAGGTCCAGGTCAAAAAATGTTGATGCAGTTGAATAGCTCTCATCAATATCTATCAGCATATGAAGTTTGATAAAAATATCTTGGATAGTTTCTTTGAAACTGAGCTTTGAACTGAGCTAAACGCAGAGCGCGACGGAAGGACGGAAGACGGACATGACAAACACTATATGCCCCGGCCATATTCATGACGGGGCATAAAAAAAAAGAAATAAAAGATACAAGATAGGAAAATATTAAGCACTAACGTTACACTACATAGCTCATAATAGGTACATTGCATTTAAATCTTTTTTGTGATATGACCCATGGATAACTGCCAGAACTTCAAATATTTCTGGGAAAGATACCAATTGTGTTTTTAAAAAATTACATTTTTATTAAGGTATTTCCATCCTCACAATTTTATGGGTTCAAAGTAGAAAAACTGCATTTATTTTTACTGAATATAGTTTAAATTAATAAATAATCGCAAAAAAATATATAGGTTGCCATATTTTTTTAAGATGTAAGACATAATTACTAGTAAACAGAAGCATATATGTCAGCATTAAAAAATCGCACATTTTTAGTCAGCAGTGAATGCCTGAAAATGAATACGGAAAATGCCTGAATAATAGATACAGGAGAAGGAGTTGTTGCCCTTAACAACATTTTTTAAAGATTGAATAATTGATTAAATAAAGAAAATATTCATTTTTTAAATTCTTTTACTACTTACTATTTGTTATTACATCCATTGAAAAACATTCTTTTAAAAGATATGTTTCTATGGGATATGAATTTAAATTAATAACAGTTTTTGCAAAAACCTATGACATCACGGGACGGTGGAAATACTTTAAGGTCAAGATCTAGTAAATGAAAGGTGCCTACAGGTTTCTGAAATTTAAGAAATAAATTCCTTTAATGATGATTTATAACTTTAGCTTGGTCAAATAAGGTGTTTCGGGGCATAATTTGTAGATGAACAAGACGAAAAACCATATTTTAAACTTCCATTTTCAATGAAAAATTAAAAAAAAAAAACAGTCATGAATACGGGAGTTTTTTCCATATCAGACAAAGGAAATGTATCCAGATTGCCTACAGTCTCTCAGAAAACGATAATTTGTATGTTCTTGGCCTCCTCTTTAAAATGAAATTAAATTGAATATAGGTATCGGGATTACTTTTCACATGATTTCAAATTGAATTCCACGAAAATACTTTATTTTCTATATAACTCTATTTACGAAAGCCTATTAGGATCAAACTACGGTAAAAAAAAATTTTTAAAGGCGTTATAACGCCTTTTCAAAAGGCGTAATAACGCCTTTTGAAAAGGCGTTATAACGCGGTAAAGGCGTAATAACGCAAATAAAGGCGTAATTACGCCTTTCCAAAAGGGGTTATAACGAGAAAAAGGCGTAATTACGCCTTTTTAAAAGGCGTTATTACGCCTTTCTTAAAGGCGTTAATACGCCTTTCCAAAAAGCGTTATTACGCCTTTCCAAAAGGCGTTATTAAGCCTTTCCAAAAGGCGTTATTACGCCTTTCCAAAAGGCGTTATTACGCCTTTTAAAAAGGCGTTATTACGCCTTTGCAAAAGGCGTTATTACGCCTTTCCAAAAGGCGTTATTACGCCTTTCCAAAAGGCGTTATTACGCCTCTTTTTTTTCAATACATGACTTACTTAGTCCACCATGGGGCTGGTTATAATTAGAATTCCATGAAAAAAGATTTTTAAATGTGTAAAATATTCTCAGTGTTAAACCAACTTAGTCCTTCTCTGATGCCAGACACCTCTACCAAGGTGCATGGATTTCAGAAATTTGGGTGAAGGCTAATTGCTCATTATCCCTATGCAAATAGTTTGCCTGTTCTTTTCAAAGAGGAGAGAAAAACATTTCAAATGTAACATGAATTTTTTAATACATGGCTAGCAAAGCCCAAAGCTGGCTCTGCCTATATCCTGGATTTCAAAAGTAGAGTGTTGACTTCTCTTAATACGCATGCAAACAGCTGTCTGCGAGATGTGCAGGAATATAGAAAATACTATAATTTATAATATAATTTATAATATTAAAACTATAATCTAAATATTGTATAAATAAAGATGGCTTTGGTTCAGTCTTTCATATATTTATTATTTTAAAATAACGCCTTTCCAGTTTTTGATGTAACTCCTTTTCAAACAGGGCGGTAGTACGAATGCGAATTGGGGGGGGGGGGTCCCCCACCCCCCACTTTTTGGGAGAATAGTCTTGCTATAGTTTAAATATAAAAAATCATTTATTGATTGCTTGGTCCCTTAACATTTTGTTGCAGTATGGTTAAACTCGGGCAAGTCATTGCATTTAAAAAAAGTTTTACCGAAAAGTAAGAAAAAGTTTTCCCTCGTGTTTAGGCAGTTTATTATTTTTTTTTTCGGAAGGTGGGGGTTGTTTCTTGTTTTTTTTTTTTGATTGCTTGTCAATATTATGGGAGGCTGACCCCCCCCCCCCCACTTCAAAAGCACGGGCCTGTCAAAGACATAATAATGGGTCTTCAAAAGGCATAATAACACCTTTTGGAAAGGCCTATTAATGCCTTTTAGAAAGGCGTAATAATGTCTTTTTAAAAGGCGTAATAACGCCTTTTGGAAAGGAGTAATAACGCCTTTTCAAAAGCGTAATTACGCCTTTATTTGCGTTATTACGCCTTTTCAAAAGGCGTTATTACGCCTTTTTTCGCGTAAAACGCCTTTTGAAAAGGCGTTATAACGCCTTTTAATTTTTTTTTTACCGTAGGTTTGATCCTAATAGGCTTTCGTATCTATTAGAGCCACAAAGTACGGGAAAAAGAAAGTTAGAATTGATTATGACGTCATAATGGATCTAGTGCGTCCTTACTCTATGTTTTCTGTTGAGAACATGTACATACGCAACATAGTTTTGAACCTTATGTATTTCCTGTATTTAAGACAGTTCCCAAATAATTGAAGGATTTGTGTGCGATTTTATGATGCCTGGTAATGTTGAACGCCTCCTCTGATTATTCAAATTTTGAAGAATTACCAATTAAAACTATATTTTTGTTCATTTCTCTTTAATAAAACACAACATAAAGATTTTTGCCATTTCGTATCTGTTTAAAACTCCTGGTAATGTATATATATATATATATATATATATATATATATATATATATATATATATATATATATATATATATATATATATATATATATATATATATATATATATATATAGTACTTTTTGTATTATACAATAAAAGCTTTTGCATAATTCTCTTATTCTATTTACCTTTCAAGTACATTATTTTCAGTTATAAATTATCAAAAGTAAATGGCAAAGGGGAATAACTCCTCTCAGTTGAATACAAAGTAATAGAGCCCTGGTCAGGAACAGAACACTTGACCAAATGGTCCAGATGTTCAAAAATCTGGTAAAAATTCCCTTCCTTATAAAAACTTTTACTCTGTTTGCCTCAGATATGCCCAGGTGCGGAGAAGATTTTTAAAGAAATAATGCATTTCTACTACAGATTCACTATATTATCAATAGAGCCCCCCCCCCCCCCCACGAAACACCAGAGCTTCCCTTCAACACTAAGGAGCAAACAGGATTATTTATTAGAATTAATGCATTTTCACTATATTATCAAGAGCCCCACCCTCACACCAGCACATCTGACCCAGGAGTCATGAAATTCACTACTCTGGAAGTAGCACTTTTGCTCATCATAACTATACACTTAGCTTCTTTGCTTTTTTAACCAGAAGCAGAAAAGAATATTTTCAAAGAAATTTTGCTTTTTCACTTTATAATCAATAGAAGCCTCCCCCACCCCATCTCACCAGAACCCTTAAACCTGGGGTCATAAAATTCATAAAATGTTGGAATAGGCATCCTTGCATGTCATAACAATGTACTTAGTTTGTTTAAATAATACCCAGGAGTAGAGAAGAAGATTTTCAAAGAATTAATGCATTTTCACTATAAAATCAATAGAGCCCCACCCTAACACCAGAACCCCTCACCGAGGGACCATGAAATTCACAATTTTGGAAGAGGCACTCTTGCTCATCATAACTATGTACTTAGTTAGTTTATTTAATACCCAGGAGCAGAGGAGAAGATTTTCAATGAATTAATGCATTTTCACTATATAATCAATAAAGCCCTGCCCTAACACCAGAACCCCTGCCCCTGGGGCCATGAAATTCACAATTTTGGAAGAGGCACTCTTTCTCATCATAACTATGTACTTAGTTACTGTATTTAATACCCAGGAGCAGAGAAGAAAATTTTCAAAGAATTAATGCATTTTCACTATATAATCAATAGAGCCCCGCCCTAACACCAGAACCCCTGACCCAGGGGCCATGAAATTCACAATTTTGTAAGAGACACTCTTGCTCATCCTAACTATGTACTTAATTAGTTTATTTAATACCCAGGAGCAGAGAAGAAGATTATCAAAGAAACAATGCACTTTCACTATATGATCTATATAGCCCCGCCCTAGCACCAGAACCCCTGACCCTTGGGCCATGAATTTCACAATTTTGGTAGAGGGCTCAATGTTTATTACAATGATGCCAACAGTTTGACTGCTTGATGTCCAGGAGTAAAGAAGAAGATTTTTAAAGATTGCATTAATTTTGGTGGTTTAGCCCCACCCCTCAGGCCCCAGGGGGGCAGGGACCATGAAATTCACAATTTTTGTTCCCCTTTACCCATAGATGCTATATGCCAAATTTGTTTGAAATTGGTTGAGCGGTTTAAGAGAAGAAGCTAAAAATGTTCAAATGTTAACGCACGACGCACGCCGACGGACAAAAACGGACAATAGGTCACCTGAGTGACTCAGGTGACCTAAAAATGGAGTGAAGACCCACCTATATAGAAAAAAATGTGTTATAGTATGAACAAATGATCCTTTTCCCTTTTTGTTGCATGCATGCTATTTCATAGACATGATTTTAACACTTGTGAGATTTATTGAAAATAAGTCTAGAGATTTTACATAAAGTATACCACATGGCGGATTTAGAGGGGTTGCTTACCCCCCTCCCCCTTTCAAAAAAAATCCAAAAATTAGGTAACATGTGTATAACTGTCATGATATGATGATGTCACCCATAGGTGGGGGTTCGGGGGGCCTCCCCCGAGAAATTTTCTTAAAAAATGGTTCCAAATGGTGCATTTTCAAGCATTTTAGATTGGATTAGTTTAGTTTTTTGCCACTCGTTTTTCAAGACTGACATACCCAAATTTATAAAGAATTTGAACAAAAAATTAAAAAAATTTTGGATTTATTTTTAACTTCCATTTAAACATGAAAAATGAGACTTTTCTAAAATAAATAAATAAATAAGTAAGTAAATAAATGTAAAATCTGATAAAATAAGAAATATCGCCATTTGATATATAAAATCCAATTCTTCATTTTAAAACGCACGTCCAATGTGTCGCATGTGAAGCTCTGACTACCAAAATACAACTGATGTGCATTTTCCCAACACTTAGAAAATGTTAATTCTGTGTAGAAACCCTAATTACTCTTTTCAACTACTTGACTATACTGTTCATATAATTTGCAATATAAACAAATTATGATATTTCATATTGAAGAATAAATATAAAGTATTTTGTGGAAATGTTGGAATTATATAGTTGCTTATTCATGGGGGGGGGGGGTTAATTATAATTTCTTACATAAATGCACTCTTTAATTCTTTTTTTTTTTACCCACTTACTAGACCAATGTTTGGGGAAAAAAGTCTTGAAAAACAATCAATACAAAAGTGGCCCATTCTCGTTTGGACAGGACCTCTACTTTATACATATCAGTTTACCACAATTCATTATACAAAGTTGTAACCATTAGTTTAGTTTTATCAAATATCATTGAAATGTAATTTAAAAAAAAAAAAAAAGTATTTTTGCTTTTTAAAATTGCATTGCATTCCATCTACAACGGAACACTTTCAATGTGCTTTTTGGTACAGGTCACAACGTAAACAACTGGTAATTCGTTATATTACTCAAAGGGTCTACTTTCCTAGTAGTTATGTCATGAAAATATTGTATCAGGGACGTTTATGCTATAGTATATACATCCCTGATTGTATTAATTTTTTTTTCTAAATAATATTAATAATCACAGTTTATTCACGTAGTTCAAATAACGTAACATTCAATTATCGAAGAAAGAAAATTCTTGAAAGAATATAACTTTAGCAATGCCAAACAATGCCATAATAACTATGTGCAGTTTTCATGGTTTTAGTTGTTAGTGTATGACCTTGTGTCATCACTGGACTATCTCTGTAATGTTGATTATATGTACCTGTGTACGTATTGTGTGCGCTCAAGCGGAAAGGGATTTCACGTGGTGGCTGTATAATTCACCCCTTTGTGTAAAACAATGGGCTTGGATAGAGTCTCATTTATGAAAGATATTGTTAAAATGACACTTGTAAAAAATTTTTTTTTGATTGGGCGGGGGGGGGGGTTTCCCGACCCCCCCCCCCCCCAAACCCCCCTGGATCCGCCACTGGATAAATGTATAATACACAACATTTGGCACACTTGTAAAAGCAGCATTACATGGATTTTACTTTTCAAGCAATCAGTATCATCGAGAAAATGATTACCTTATTTCCACAATACAGATCTGACATCAGTTTTTGATACCAAAAAATTCTTAAGACAATAACCTACTAAAGATGTCGATTTACTTGTATCAGAAATTCTTTTAACCTCGGAAAGTGAAGAAGAATGATTTTGTTTGCACGTGAAAATGACAATCGAGGATTATATATTCCAAATTTATTTGAAAGTCTATTGATTAATTTAATACTACAATAATGGGAAAACTTGCATTGAGTCAAAAGGTGCCATGACACACAATGAAACGGCATGATAGAAGAGGGTCTGTGATGAAAGGCCGGAAGGGGGGGCTTAAATGCAAAGAATATATAAGTAGACGGAATTCTACATACTACTTCAGATTATTGATACTAAAATGCGTTTGTGTTTGTAGGAAGGGGTGTAACTACACCTATAAAGGCTGATATAAGGTTAGATTTTACTTTAAAAATCATTAACATTCAGGAGCTTCCGGGGGCTTCTCCGACATGTGTCCGATCAGAAAGTAAATTAGGAGGTGCACAATGGCACCATGTAATAAAGATTATGTGAAAAAAAAGTCTCATTAAGGTCTGACGACACGTTGCTCGAATATTTCATAATTATCATTATCTTGTGATTTCTAAACTGAACAAATGTATAAGTAAAGAAAGACACCAAAAATGTGTGATACTGCCAATGCTAGTGATTTCCATTAGGATTATCTATAGTCAACAACATCCTCTGGTATCTTGCACAAATGTCTGGTAAGGTATCTTAATTTTTTTGTGAGGAAACTTGTTAAAGTAGCAATACGAATACTTCAATGTCAAATTCTTTGGGGAAATTATCTATTATTGAGGAACGGTTCGACTGACCTTAAATTTTATTCAGTGGTATAAGAGTTGTGGATAAAAGAGGGGTAACGGACGGACACCCTTATCACTATACAACCCCCACTTTTTAGATCAGAGGGTCATTGCACCTTAACATAGCTATGTTTATAATTCGCGAATAAGCACTACATTTTCGCGTTTATTCGCGAAGCTCAGAAACAAAGGGGGAAAATCCTACGAAAATGTGCTCAATGGTCTTTCCTATATAGAACAAATATACGAGGGCCATTCAAAAAGTTTTGTCCTTGGTGCAATAAGAAATACAAGGACATGAAATCGTTTGCTTTCCTTCGAAGTACTCTCCTTTAACACGTATACGCTTTTTCAGAAGAGAAATCAAACCCTTCACAAACTGAAGTTGTATTCAGATAAATGTCTTCTAAGTTTTGAGAACAGAAAAAAACACACAGGGGGAATGATCTAAAGAGTACGCAAGGTGAGGGATGACAATCTCTCTCCCCCCCCCCCCCTCCTTCTACTGATCAAGAAAATCAGTGACTAGTATTGAGTAATGGACTGGGGTTTTATCATGCTACAAAAAGACATTTGAAACCAGTTTTTGTTACGTATTGTTGTTTACGAGTACGTTTCTGCAAAATTTTACATTTGTACATCTCTCCAGTAATAATGATCTTGGGAATAGGTAATTACATCACAAAACCCTCCCCATCAAAGAAAATAGTATAAAGAACCCTTTTGTTCTCCGACTGCTTTTGGCAATAACTGACACTGGATGCTTCCCATATTTTGTCATTTATACTTTAATCATTAAACGTTCTTCCATCTTGCAGGAATCTTCCTGTATCCTAGATCTCTTGTAAGAAATTTATGAACTGCTTCCATTGATATCCCTATAGCAAACGAGCTAAGTCCTCACCGCTTTCTCTACGAAATCCCTTATTTTGCATTAATGACCGTTTTTGGTCTCCAAGATCGTACATCATATTGAACACTCTCTGTACTTTCTCTGAATTTTTTTCAACCACCTGGAAATTGTTCTATATAACGGTTGTTGGAATCCGTATACATTCAAGTTACCGATAGCCTCCGCAGAAATTAATGATACATGTATATAGGATACTGATTTTAATTTATAAACAGTACTTTACAAAATATTTAATCAGAGAGGTGTCAATGGACGTTTTGATGACATTTATTACATGGCGAGGTTGTGTGACCTGTACTGTTATTGGAGTGCTATACATGATCATGATTACTAAAGTCGGGTAAGCACAAAATCCACAGCATTATAAATGTTGATATTCGATACTAAATGAGAAGTTATGTGAAATAAATTAAATTCTAAAAGGGATATTTGTAAATTAAGACCTGTGTGCCTATCGTGATTGTAAGCGAGTGCAAGAATGTTACAAATGAAGTGATAAATCTTTTGAGTACGAACAAATTATTTCAATATACGAGTGCCACAACCTTCGTAGAAAGTGGTGCATTGAACAAATGTAGGTGTACAGAGAAGCTTAAGTATTTATCGAAATCTTGGGTAAATACGGCTGTCAATTTAAACGGCATTGCCTTTTACCCCGGAGTGCGCAGTTTCTCCGTGTGCTGCCGACTACCCGGACCTTTACTTAGTTACTGTAAATAATACTGTCCAGCAAAGGAGTTTTAACGATTTGTAAACACTTATAGTCAAGTTACTCGTGAACATGGATTAAATTTCTCCGAAGTAAGTTTAATTTGTTTTAAATAATATAGCTAGGTGTTTGTAACGACTAATAAATTTTTTATATATATTAAATTTGGTCGACCCGATGTTCATAAAAGTGAAGTTCCAATGCAGTAGTTTTACATTTTAAAGTAATTTTTATGTCAGTCATGAAGCATTGTTATCATCTTTGCGATTAATTTTCATGATATATTGAAACTATGTTAAACTATAAAATGTGGTGTTGAGAGACATGCATATATTACACGTAAATCATCTATTGATTCAGCCCCAGACCGATGTTGGAAGCTATTATACATTTGAAATTAAGGAGAATAGAACAAGTGCTCGATACGGTCGATTTCTATATAAAAATACTTATGTATCTGAAATGTACCTTCTTTTTAGTGACCTGGATTTTCGGATTGACTAACTATCAAATATTAAACCGATTTACCTTGGATTAATTTCCAAAAAACTGGAATATTTCCCAACAAGGGATCACTAATAGTTTGTAAGATTTGACAGTATGCTCCGATCAATTCATTGATTTTTTTTTTACTTTGAATAAAATCAATGATATTTCAGATAAATAATCTTTACTAATGCTCTTTTCGATTATTTGTTACACGGTACATCAAGTATTATAAAATACCTATATGTAAAATTAACGTTAACCTCCACCTGGCAATTCAATTCGTATACACTTGATTTTTAAACAGCAAGATTAAATCTTTAGCAGCAAAACGAAAAATTGATTTACAATTTGAATTTCAATACAGAATCCTGTTGATATATTATTGGACTGTCCCATAATTTCACTTCAGGTAGATGCAGCTGCCATTAAATTGATCCCACCATTATGAAAAAAGAACAGTAAACAGCGCGGTAGAGAAATTTCTAACCTTTTACATACACTTAAATCTTTTTTTTAAACTCCATTTTCATATTAGCCCAAGAAACCATATACTTTAATGACACTGATCTTTCTTTTCGGTGACATTAAACCCGATAATTTAAATGAATTTTACAACTCCCAGTGAAATGCAAGTTTTTTTAAATTTTGATAAAGCACACTTGATTTACATATATAGGAGCCCCAATACAGTCTCCTGTTGACAATTTTTTTTGGCGTCCATTTAAGTAATATTTATTAAATGAGATTCCAGCTTTATCTCATGGTTGTATATTTCAAAATCTATTGGTTTACTCCTTTGCCTAATTGCGAATCCTTCTTTTTGAAGAGAACTTCCTTAGTTGAAGAAAAAATTGCTTGATGTAATGATATGGAAGCTGTAGAGATACATTGAGAAACGTAAGTATACCTCCTTTTATGTTTACAATCTGATAACAGTCAACATCACATGATGAAAAGTTTCATTTTTATTTTAAAACTGAATTATTTTGTCAAAGACAACTTTTCTTGAAATAAGGTCTCTGATGAAACTGTAGCTCTACTGGTTTATATCTTATAATTTATTGGTTTTGTTTGACGCTGAATAGGCAGTATTTCAGCAAAATTTCCATAATAATGGAAGAGCAAAGTTGCATCTGGACTTAAAATACAATTTTCTTAATGTTTTCTAAACGTATTTTTATTGAAATCATATTAAGACTGCAGGAGAAATGATGTTTTGAAAGAATTTCACAGAAATTTTAGTAACATTGGCAAAACTGTTCTTCAGAATCATATCTTAGTGTAAGCCAGTTGTATACCAAGTTTTACTGAAATCGGACTCAAAGCTGTGGGAGGAAGAACATTTTTGAAAAATCATTTAGAGACAGACGAACGGACGATAAACACCTTTCATCGCATAAGCTCTTTTAGTCTTAAATTTATCAAAAATTTAATTTAAACATGATTGTTTCTAAGTTGATTTTCAGTGTTTTGAAGAGAGTTTTTTTCACTGTAAAACGTGTTATGACTTATGTTTTACCAGATTTTCTTAGAGTGCCAACATGATAACACATCAGGTTTATTATCTTCATTTTTCATTTCACAACAGAATTTTGACAATCTTGCTGTAGAGATATCAGAATTAACATGGCTGTAGCTCTGACCTATCGGGATTACCAGTAAGTTATCGATATGTTCATGAAAAATCATTCAAGCTGCCCACCTGTGTTATGAGTAATTTCTAAAACCTTGAACAATTTATTTTGAACGCTATTATGTGTGTGACTGAGCCAATATGATCGAAAGTCACTGAGAAATTAAAATACTTCTATCGGTTCTAATGAACCGTCATTTAGCTGTTGCTTGAAACAAGGTAAAATACAAATATTGATGTCAGAAATACAGCAATGCAGAAAAACATATTTTGAAAAAATATATACTTCTCTTTCAGCAACAAATCCTTCAGCAAGTTTGAGCTGAAGATGATGGAACTAGAGGATCTAAAAAACGAGGCCAACAGACATGTCGGCCGCCTCAACTCGCTCAAAATGCGCTACATGGACTGGTTTCTCCGATGTCAGCAGTCCTTCCTGGACTCTATAAAACTCATTCACATTCTGGGAGGGGACCTGCTACCACGGGAAATTAACACTATCCGAAACTTCAAAAAAGTCATGAGATTTTCTGGACAGTTGCCGAGCAACGGAACACCGCGTGACGGCAGTAAAGGGAAAATGATTGGCTTTCTCCTTTTCTGGGAAGAAATGTTGACGCTGAAACGCGAAAATGACGCTTTGTATAGAAAGATTTGTGACTTTTGTAATAGTATTCGCAGGTTAAGAGAACCAATATTAAAAGATGAGATAGACCGTCTGCACCAGCGCCTCAACCTGTTTCTTTCTGAAGACTATGACTTCACGGCAATATCCAACGACCGACACAATCTCTTCACTTACCGCGTTGCTCTACACGATCACAGATATCACGGACTCGTCTCCTACATCCCCTTCTTGCTCAGCATTGCCAACAAACTGTGTTACTGGACTTCTAAACTCTACATCGAGTTCCTGTAGTGTTGTAGTAATAAATAAGTAGATATAAACTCTCCACCCCTAGCCCATTCATGATATTTGCAGTACTTTTTAAATCAGTACGTTTTACTTTCCCCCGAAAATATAATCTATACTCCTCTGTGATAAAGTCATACTGAAAAGATTTGGAAGTCGTGTGATTTTTGTGTAGTGTTTGCTCTATATTTACTTTGGGTATATAAACGTGTTTTCATTTAAGGAAGCTCTAAACATGCACTAATAAAAGAAAGTTTTTTGTTTTGTTTTGTTTTGAATTTTTTGAATTTGAGAAAATTGTATCATTGTAAAGGTGTTCACTGAGTTTATCTAGTTCATTTTCAACATAGGGTATCTGCCATATTTCTCCAGGATAAATGTTCAGACAATGAAGTACAAGTGAACACAAATTACTGCTGTTTGCTTATTTTGGGAAAATACATGCGTACAATGTTTTTAATAACCTTTTCTTCGTCTAATATAATGTTAAGAATACATAATATACTTAAATTAATTGTGTCATTTACTGTAGATTTATATCTGTTCCTTTGTTCATCAAAGGGCAGATCGCTCTAACTGCATAAAACTACCAAGTAATTAGAATTCTTCAGTGAGCAGTGTTTCGAGCTTCCTTGAGGAGTTTTTGTTTGTTTTTTTTTTCTTTGCATGAATTGTTGATTTCAGTTATTGTTATATTTGTATTATTTATTATCGAGAATAAAGTGATTTTTTTTCGTGAACAAGACATATTTTGAGTAGGTATTATTTATTTTGGAATGAAACTTGTTTTGTCAAGACTTGCCTTGAATACTTTATTTGACTTTCGTTTTGTGACTCTGCATGTACTTTTCCATGTTTCAATAAAATCAGTTCGGAATTCATCATTTTCAGCAAATGTAGAACATTACCAAACATTTGTGTAGGGAGGTGTCAAAATTACGGAATTTGAAGTAAATTTCCAGGTGCAATTTACATATACTAGTATTAAACTTCTTTATTTTGACTTTGCTCAAATAAGTTGGTGGTGGTGGTTCCATATAGATGAAAGCTTGCAGTAGGCAACCGCACATTTTGCAAACCCCGATAAAAATTTTGGTATACATGTATCGAAATTCATGTAAATTGAGACTAAAAGCTTTCTTCAAATTGCAACACTAGCTCAATTTTACTGCATTACCATCTGTAAATGCCGAATCCTAAATCCTTAACGCCTTTCAGCTGTTCTATATATGTTCTGGATAAAATTTCATTTTGGGGTAATAGGCACAAATCAGACCCATAGAACGCCCGAGGGGGGACATTTTTTCTGAATATAGTATATATAAAAAATTCTGCCCCATCCCCCCCCCCCCCCCCCACCTCCCGAACTTTTTTTTGGTTGTAAGGTCGATCACTGGCAAATTCCAGGATTTGGACAGTTCATTTATTTCTTTGCTTGTCAGATATTTTTGGGAGCCCCCCCCCCCCACTTGTGAAACCGTTGCTACGGGCCTGAAGATCCCCTTGATTTTACAGATATATCAATATTTAATATAAGATACTATGTCTTTGACTGGTGCTTTGTATCACTAGAGTTTGATATTCTTAATGCTCATGCAAACAGTTGTCAGTTAGATGTGCAGGAGTATTGAAAAACATTTTGAGATGGCTTCGATCCCACCCTTCACATAATTATTGCGCCTTTGCAATGAGCGTAATAACGATATTTCACTTCGCGTTATTACGTACGTTTTCGCGTTAATTATAACGCATTTTCACATCGCATTTCAAGGCCTTTTTTGGCATTGTTTAGCAATAAAACGCCTTTTTACAAGCTCGTAGAACGGGGGGGGGGGGGGGGGGCTTTTTCCGAGTATAGTATTTTGTGATAGTAAATTTTTATATAGATGCTGGTCCCCCCCCCCCAACTTTTTGATGCTGTAAGGTCAAGCACTGGCAAATTCCAGGATTTGGGCAGTTAAGGTATTTTATTTTTTGGCTTGTCGGATTTTTTTTGGGAGCCCCCCCCCCCCTTTTGAAACCGTTGCTATGGGCCTATTTTACTCTACATTATCATGCCTTATACGTTTCTACGCCTTTTTCGTTTGCGTTATTGTGCCTTGTACGTTATTACGTCTTTTCAGTTTGCATAATAACGCCTTTTAATTTCCCCCCCCCCCCAGACTGACCTTAAAAGGCTTTCTTACATCGTACTCAAGAAACAATGTTCAACGACATAATTTATATTCAGTATATACATGCATGACCAAATAAGCCCCCACTCCGAAGCCCTTACACTGGACCCAGTAGCTGTGCATTTCACAATTTTGGTAGAGGGTTGAGTAACTCATTGTAGTCATACTACATGTATATAAAGAGTCTGCTTGCTATGTCCATCACAATGAAGAGGAGTAATGTTTTTTCAATGTATGAACATCTTAGCCGACCCTCAACCCAGGGACCATGAATTTCACATCCAGGTGCTATTATAATCATGGAAATAGGGTGCCTGCCAAAAGAGGTCTTTAACAAGAGGCCCATGGGCCACATAGCTCACCCGAGCACTGTGGCTAGAAAAATGCAGAAATCAGTTCAGTATTGAAAAGTTTAACAAGAGGCCCAAGGGCCTTAACAGTCACCTGAGTATAAAACAACAATCCATAGAAGATCCATAGAGTATAAAATAAACTGATAGAAGGAGCTTTTGTAAATATTTGATCGTCCATTGTGGCCCCACCCAATCCCTACAGTCCAGAGTATGATTTGAACAAACTTGAATCTATACTACCTGATGTTTGCATGTAAATATGACCAATCATGGCTTTGCTGTTCCTGAGAAAAAGATTTTAAAAGATTTTTCCTATATATTTCTATGTAAAACTTTGATCGTCCATTGTGGCCTCACCCTACTCCCGGGGGTCATGATTTGAACAAACTTGAATCTACACTACCTGAGGATGCTTCCATATAAATATGACTCATCACGACTTTGCTGTTCTTGAAAAGAAGATTTTTAAAGATTTTTCCTACGTATTTCTATATAAACTTTGATCATCCATTGTGGCCCCGCCTTACCCCGGGGGACATGATTTGAACAAACTTGAATCTACACTACCTGAGGATGCTTCCATATAAATATGACCAATCAGGGCTTAGCTGTTCCTGATAGGAAGATTTTTAAAGATTTTTCCTACATATCTCTATGTAAAACTTTAATCGTTCATTGTGGCCCCGCCCTACCCCCGGGGGTCATGATTTGAACAAACTTGAATCTACACTACCTGAGGATGCTTCCATATAAATATGACTCATCACAACTTTGCTGTTCTTGAAAAGAAGATTTTTAAAGATTTTTCCTATATATTTCTATGTAAACTTTGATCATCCATTGTGGCCCCGCCCTACCCCTGGGGGTCATGATTTGGACAAACTTGAATCTACAATACCTGAGGATGCTTCCATATAAATATGACTCATCACGACTTTGCTGTTCTTGAAAAGAAGATTTTTAAAGATTTTTCCTACGTATTTCTATATAAACTTTGATCATCCATTGTGGCCCCGCCTTACCCCTGGGGACATGATTTGAACAAACTTGAATCTACACTACCTGAGGATGCTTCCATATAAATATGACTAATCAGGGCTTAGCTGTTCCTGATAGGAAGATTTTTAAAGATTTTTCCTACATATCTCTATGTAAAACTCTAATCGTCCATTGTGGCCTCACCCTACCCCTGGGGGTCATGATTTGGACAAACTTGAATCTACACTACCTGAGGATGCTTCCATATAAATATGACTCATCACGACTTTGCTGTTCTTGAAAAGAAGATTTTTAAAGATTTTTCCTACGTATTTCTATATAAACTTTGATCATCCATTGTGGCCCTGCCCTACCCCCGGGGGTCATGATTTGAACAAACTTGAATCTACACTACCTGAGGATGCTTCCATATAAATATGACCAATCAGGGCTTAGCTGTTCCTGAGAAGAAGATTTTTAAAGATTTTTCCTATATATCTCTATGTAAAACTTTAATCGTCCATTGTGGCCCATCCCTACCCCTGGGGGTCATGATTTTAACAAACTTGAGTCTACACTACCTGAGGATGTTTCCATATAAGTTTCATCTTACCTGGTCCAGTGGTTCTTGAGAAGAAGATTTTTAAAAGATACCATTAATTTTTCACTAATTCTTAATTATCTCCCCTTGGAAGAAGGCGTTGCCCTTCATTTGAACAAACTAGAATCATCATTACCCAAGGATACTTTGTGGCAAGTTTGGTGGAAATTGGCCCAGTTGTTCTTGAGAAGAAGTCGAAAATGTGAAAAGTTTACGCACGACGCACACCCGCACGATGACGGACGAAAACAGATAGAATAGGTCACCTGAGTGACTTAGGTGACCTAAAAATTAAAGTGGTTCCGGGGGAGGGGGGGGGTTATGATTTGAACAAACATGACTAATAATATCTTTGCTATTCTTAAGAAGACATTTTTATTGATTTATCCTTTAGATTCCTTTGTATAAGTATGATCCCCTCTTATGGCCCCTCTATACTCCTAGGAGGTCATGATTTGATCAAATTTGAATCTACATTACCTGCAGAGGATGTTTTTATTTTATTATGACCAATCACGGTTTTGCTGTTCTTGAGAATAAGATTTTTAAAGATTTTTCCTATGTATCCTATGCAAAATTTTGATTATCCATTGTTGCCCCACCCTACCCCCGGGGGTCATGATTTGAACAAACTTGAATTTACATTATTTGAGGATGTTTTCATATAAATATGATCAATCATGGGTTTGCTGTTCTTGTAAAGAAGATTTTCCCTATGTATTCCTATTTAAAACTTTGATCGCCCACTGTGGCCCCATCCTACCCCCCGGGGGTCAAGATTTGAACAAATTTGAATCTACTCTACCTGAGGATGCTTCCACGTAGCTGCAGAACTGTAGCTCTCCGAAAAAAAAAATATTGACAGACCGGAGATATTGATATATCCGATATATCTCCGGTCTGCCAATATTTTTTTTTCGGAGAGCTACAGTTCTGCTGCTAGCTTCCACGTAATTTTCGTCTTTTCTCGCAAAGTGGTTCTTGAGAGGAAGATTTTTAAAAGATCCCATAAATTTTTCACGAATTCGCAATTATCTCCCCTTGAAAGAAGGCGTGGCCCTTCCTTTGAACAAACTTGAATCCCCTTTAACCAAGGATACTTTGTGGCAAGTTTGGTTGAAATTTGCCCAGTGGTTCTTGAG